TTGTATCGCTAAATCATTATTATCTATTAAAAAAATTCTTACAATCTAAAAATATTTTCTGGTTTTAAATAACCTGCAAAGGGTTGATAAGCTGTAAAAATCGAATCAACAAACTAATGGTCGCGACACTAATGCGGGGGTCAGTAATGTTGCTAATATGACTAATAATAATAATAATAATAATAATAATAATAATAATAATCCGATAAAAACACATCTTTGAATGTCCTAATATACCATATTTGACGGCATATAAGGCGCACTTTCTTTACTAAAAATATCTTTTAAAATTCTCCTGCGTTTTATATGCCATATGTAGGTTTAAACTTCGCGATAGTCGGCTGAAATTAGCTAGCTGGCAACTATTAGCTTAGACTTTAGAGTAACTTTCATATACCTATTGTCATTACTTAAAAAGCTATTATGCAGATTAAAATTTGATAATATTCATTATATTAATTTCATCACGTTTAATATTAGTACTTTGTTTTACAAAAATTATATGCAATAAATTCAAATTATATATTTGTAAAATATATTTGTTTCATTAATATGTTTCTTGTGATAACTTTCAGTTGCATTTTTATATTCTGATTATTTCAATAAAACGTTTACAAGACGCGGGTTGTACAGATTATATAAAAACAATATAATAAAGTTTTTATGGGCTCGTGTTCTTTTTTTTTTCTATTATTTTTCGTTTAATTGTAATCATGGCTTGTTTAACCAAAATAATACCTCATAGATATAGCCTAGGTTGTACCACTTACTACTAATTTTACTAATTACTAATTTTTTCTCGATTTCCCCTGTTGAAATTGGGGTGCGTCTTATACACGTGTGCGTCTTATGCACCGTCAAATACGGTATATGAATTGTAAAAAATCATACGCTTACGTCTATTTCTCTCCATACAATGACCACAATTACATATATTTTTTATTTTATTTATCTATTATTTCTCTGTGAATGCATCGCATCCCAGCTGTTTGCATCATCAGATAAAACAAAACTCTTTGTTTCTTGAAGTCTATAGTTGATACATGGGGTCAACTAATACTACACAAAGCAAAAGCAATAGTTCTATAGTTCACCCAATTCAATGCTCAAGAGCCACTCAAATTAAAAAGTTACTGAATGAGGTATGTGATATGAATGTAAGAGAAGTAAGTAGGAAGTAAAATTTACGAGGATATGGTGGTTAGATAACGATTGAACACAGAGGTTAAGATTGTAGCATTTCGGGAAGCATCCACAAAATAGACGTTCTTTGGAATAATAATTTTGAGTGGAAAAAGACGTTGTAGGGAATAAGGGTGACTGAGTTCTATAGATGTAGCTGGGTGGGTGTTGGCTTTGAAGGTAAGTCTAAACTGATCACACTACAGAAAGGAATCCATCTGAACATTTACCATGCAAGAAGCGATAGAATAGGGATAGGCTATCGACGCTGCGTCTGTAAGAAAGGGCGTGTAGGGCGAAAAATAAGTAATCACTCACAAGGCTGTGCAAACTCTGTCAAGGCTGGACTGTGAGAATTGAGCACCCCCCAACCCAGATATGGCAGCAGTACTTCATTTTAGGTCTGCTCTGACTTGTAAATACACAAGCATGGCCGAGGGTGTTATGTAATTTCCGGAGTGGTACAAGGAACCGGGCGTATATTACGCTCTGCCAATGTCTCTTAAATAATACACTATTCCGTTTTGATTGCCAGAAAAAACGAAAAAGACATATCAGAGATGCTGTTTGGTTTCCGTGAACGAAAGAAAGAATGTAAGAAAGAAAGAAGAAAAGGAAGTTGACGCTCTCATGTGTTTAATGTCTGCTTTATTAAAATGAAAAAATCGTCAATTTTAAATCGGTTCATTTGTACCCTCTTACTTCTTTAAATAGTGACCTATATTTATACTTATGATTGTTATTGCAATGCTTTGTTAAAGTTGTTAAGCTCAAATATTTAACGATGCAATAGGGGAATTTCAACGGTTATTTTATAGTTGTTGAACTCGTAATCGTTAACTTTCACAGATACTACTAGTAACGAGAGAGAGAGAATAGGGAGAGAGAAAGAGAGAGAGAAGGAGAGAGAGAAAAAGAGACAGAGAGAAAAAGAGACAGAGAGAAAGAGACAGAAAAGAGAGAGAGAAAAAGAAAGTGAGAAAGACATAGAGACAGAAAAGAGGTAGAGAAAAAAGAGAGAGAGAGAAAAAGAAAGTGAGAAAGACATAGAGACAGAAAAAAGATAGAGAGAGAGAAAGAGAGAGAAAAAGAGAGAGAGGAAAAGAAAGTGAGAAAGACAGAGAGAGAAAAGAGGTAGAGAGAAAAAGAGAGAAAGAGAGAGAGAGAAAAGAAAGACAGAGACAGAGAGACAGACGCAATCTTGATTTTCTCATTTAGAAGAAACATTTCAAAAAATGTCCCTGTCCTCATCATCTCTTACTCTGTAGTAAGCTAAACTTATTAACCTTGGCCAAGAAGGCGAGACTTGTTCGACTGAAAACACCACTTCCGAGTTTTGATTGCCGTAGTTAAACAGCTGTGTGTTTGCAAGTGAGGAAGTGACTGCTTAAGATTCGCCCAATCTTGTCAGCGACTTTTTCTTTTTCGAACTAAGCTAAGTTTAACAAGCTTTTTTTTTTTTCGTATTAAACTAAGCTTAACGAATAACCAATATTATCAGCATAATGGAAACATTTACTTCTTTTTTACGCATTTATTTTGAATTAAACATTTCGTTAAAATGACCACTTTTAAAAAAAAAAATAACGACGACAGGGAAGAAGTTTTTTTTAGCTCGAGTGCGAATTATCAAGCAAATAGAATGAAAAGCATAGTTTTAAACATTTCAATTGATTCAATACTAAAAATATGTCGAAAGTCTCGCCAAGAAGAATAAAAAAAACCCGCTTATCATAAAAAAAGAAAGAAAAAAAAAGCTTTAGAAAACAGGATTTCACAAAAAAGTTTCTTGTTTATTTATTTACAAAGCTTATGTTGGGCACAAGACCACAAACATGGATCATCCAACGAAGAACAAATTCCTTACTCATTATCAATTAGACTAACTTGCCAACCATTATCCTACCCCGAGGTACCAAAGTTATTATTGACAATGTGCACGTTCGAGTTTCAAATCAACGGGTTAGTTGGATAAAAGGATTGGCTGGAACCTTTTAAGTAATTTTTTTTATAATTTTCAATAATGAAAAGCTTTGTTCTAAAAAGCTCCTTAGAGTAGGAAACTCACCCTGATGTGGTTTAATGGTTAACAAGCTTGTCTTGATAGACCAGTTATTACTGGCAGCGAGTTCGATCTTCCCTAGGTGCTCCTTAATCTCGCCCTGTGCCAGAACTAAGCTTAGTAAATCAAAAGAACACGTGAAGTAATGATTAATAAACTTGTCTCGTTAGAGCAATTAAGACTGGGTAGCGAGTTCGATCTTCCCCAGGTGCTCCTTAATCTCAGCCCTGTGCCACAATTAAGCTATGCTTAGTAAATCACTATATTAAGGAGTAAAATATACTTCTCTGAATATTTAATAAAAGGTGTCATTGGATTAAGGGTGTCATGGATGGATTACTTCCCTCCAAAAATAACCATTGCAGTTCCTCTGTTTTAAACTCAAAGGTAGGTTATATACAAATATAAGGCGCCCAGTGAGGACCAAAATCACTACTAATAATAAGCCAGACTAGTTTGTAAACATTACTTTACGCGAATGTCTTTGTTGCTACTTACTGATTTGCATACACTTTTCTTTTCTTTCTTTCTTTATTTGTTGCCTTTGTTCATGTTTACTGCTTTCGCGTCAACTTTTTTCTTTATTCTTTTCTTTTTCTTTCTTTCTTTTTCTTCTCTTCTTTTTTCTTTCTTTTTTTTCTTTTTCTTTCTTTCTTTTTCTTTCTTTCTTTTTTTTCTTTTTCATTCTTTCTTTTTTTTAATTCTAAGGTGGGGTGAATTTTCTTTTTATTTCTTTTCACGTTTGGTTGCGTTAGAATAAATAAAATAAAACAGAAGTTGGCTGTGATATTCTCGTTGGGTCAGAAGTATCATGGCAAATGTTCTGACTAGCTACATTCCTTAGTTTCACTGACTCTAACCCTCCCAGCAAAGACTCGCCACGCCCCGTACTCTAGGGGCGAGTCACCCTCATTCTTTTTTATATCCCACTAATAAGAAGGAAGTTCTACCTGGACAGTTTCTTCCCAAGAACCGTTACTTAGTGGAACAAACTCCCGATTGGATGCTTTTTCGGTTACCACAAAACATCTTCAACTCTAAGTTAATCGTTATTTTTCCCACATATATTTATAATCTGCACTTCTTACTTCTTATTCTTCTCACTCATACAACAACCTTTTTTTTTCAGTAATTCTCTACCTTAAGTGGCTCTTAGGCCTTGCATTGGATGAACATTAGTAAAAAAAAAAGAAAAAAAAGGAAACTTCGAAATCATTTTTTAGATGTAGGCAGATGTTTCCATTTTTTTGTTTTTAAACTAGACACTGCTGGAAACTTTTACACACACTTAGTAGATATTTACTAACTTTATTCTGTCACGTGAAAACCAGAATGACTATTAGTGCGAAAATCGAACTTTCTACAGTATCGAATTAGCTAAGCACAATAATGATCAAACGTGCGATCACCGAAGTTAAGCAACGTCGAATCTAGTCAGTACCTAGATTACCTTAGGAATACCAGGTGCTGTAAGCTTGGATGGAATAACGGCTCGGAATTGGTAATCGGAGAGCCGACTTCAAATTCCATTCAAGTTCGGTATATTCACTTACGTGCAAATACCCCCAGGGCAAACGTATGAATCTGCCTCCTCTCCTCAGCGGGGCGGTAGGAGTGGGAGAAGGGGTGGAGTCACACCTTTCCTAATGGTATTTGCGCGTAAGTAAATATATAATGAACACAACGGGAACTAGAACTCAGCTCTCTGATTAACATTTCCGTGTCATTATCACTTGCACCACCCGCACATCCAAGG